GGACTGAAGTTGCTGTCACTTCCCCTAGAGCGCCATGGACTTGATTGGCGAGTCCCAGAGCTTCCATGAGGCCCCCAGGACCAAAATCTACTTTGGCTCCCAGTACCACCAGGGGCATTCACTCTGGGAAGAGCGCTATGGGCATCTGCCCAGGTTCCTGCACTCTTTCGTCATCCAGAACTGGTTCAAAAAGCTGTTCCCCATCTTCACCCTGGAGGTGTGGGGGGGCCTGGGAAGCTGGGAAACGTGGCCTGGGATGGGGTGTGGGGAGAAAGCAGGAGCCTGCCTGAATGTGAAACAGGGAGCAGGGTCTCAGCCTACCGTTCTGTAGGCCTACCCTGAGATGGGCACAGTGGAGGGCCTGGCCTCCATGTTGGTGGACCTGCTGGCAGAGGCCATCTGGGAAGACCGTGTGCATATCCTAAATGCACTGCTGAGACTGCTGCCTGATGTGAGCAGTGACCTCCACAGTCGGCTGCAGAGCAACCTCTTGCACTTGCTCAACTTGGACAACCCCCCCAGCCTCCAGGTGGGTTCCTTGACACCCTCCACCCCCACCGTGTTTCTCCCACCAACCATTGTCCCCACCTGTGCACAGGACCACATTCAGAAGCAGTTTGTGATGCTGGCACTGCAGCTGCTGCTGGCCTGCTCCCTGGATTCCCGTGATGTGGTGCTAGAGCTCATGTCCTACTTCCTCTACTCTCCAGCTTCCGACCGGTAAGTGACACTCCTGACCCATCCTCCCTACCAGCTGGGGAGGCTGGAATAAGCCACATGCATTTGTCCTAGGCCAGAGCTCAAGAAGCTGCTGAATGGTCTGGGCCTTCGGGACCCAGAGGGCTTCCTGTTCAAGGAGATGATGACCTGGGTCCAGGGCTCCAAACTTAATTCCAAGGCCAAGCTGCGCTTATACTGCTGCCAGAAGCTGGAGGGCATGATCCAGCAGCTGAAGGTCTGGTGCACATGGCCTAGCTGGGCTTCTCCAGAGGCAGCCCTGGGGTCCCCTGGGCTACAGGGATGCCTGCTTTGGCTTCCTGCTCAGGGGTGGGGCACCCGGTCCCTGGGGCTGGGAATTAGGCAAAAGGGAATTTCAGTAGCCAAGGAGCAAGGATGCTTCTTAGACTGGCCACTTCCTCTACAGATGGAAACTTTACAGCCATCTACAGCTCAGTTGTCAATGGTGCTGCCCAAAGGCTCTGATACCTGGCCGCCTTCCTTTCCTCCCAGGGAGGACCAGTCACAGGCTTCAGCAGTCTCAGGGGCTCCTTCGAGCATCTTCTGGCCGCAAGCCTCTCAGGCGCTCCTCCATGTCCTGGAGCCTCCCTTGCTTGTGGTGTCCCCCACAGAATCTAAAGCTGGATCCCCAGAGCCCCAGGCTCACTTTTACACTGGGCAGACCAGGCGGTCGCTCTCAGAGACGCTGAAGAGCTTCTGCTCGGTGCCTGAGCCCTCCATGCCCACTGCACCACATGGCCTGCCACAGCCGCTGGAAAAGACCGACTGGTCGAAATGGCAGATGCTGGACCTGGGCTACGTCGATGCACTCAACCACTTCTGCGAGCAGCATCAAGTACAGCAGCAGAGTTTGATCCAGAAGGAAACCGAACAGCCACCCCGCTCTGCATCCCCGCGCCCTCCTGTGCCTAACACTGTGGTGGCGCCACCCAGGGATCAAGGGTGAGTGCAGCGAGGGGGCCCCCTGGCCGGCATGGGCAGCTGAGCATTGTCTGTCTGACCTGACTCCTTCTCCCAGGCACTACCCCATACTTAGACTGCAGGAAGCCAAGGCTCGGAGCTCTGGGATGAGAATGAAGGGTGAGTGGGCTCAAGGGTGGAGACTGGTCCCTGGTCCCACACCCTTTCCTCATCCCAGCCTTGGCTGGTGGTCTCATTGGCCTGCCTGCCTGCTCCCAGGCCGTGTGATGTCACATCTCAGCACCCACTGTGCCCGTTCACTGGACCGTTCCATCCGGGTGCTAAAGCTGCCCCTGCCGAGAGTGGAGCTGCAGCCCTTCCCCCCAGGCTGGCCCGCACCCCCTCGTGCCCTGCCCCCGTTGCTCCTGCAGCCCACCCTGCAGCGCTACTTTCTGCCCGAAGATGCGGATCCTGACAGCTACAGCTGACCTGGCAGGCACGGTGGGTCCTGCGTCTCAATCCCGCCAAGTTGAATTGCAACAACACTTGTGTCTTCTATGTTCCCTGGCATAGGCCTGCATCTAGAATAAAGTCCAGAGGCTTTGGCAAGACGACAGATGCCACCTCTGTGTCTCCAGGGCTTGGGGGTGGGCAGGAAGGCATGGCAGTAGTCTGAATTCGCTGGTGATGGGTGGCATGTGACGTCAAGTATTGGGGGTCTCTGGGATGGGACAACATCTGGGGTATGGTCATGGGGTGGAGCAGCACTCCTGGTGGGATGAGCCTGTCAACCTGGAAAGGAGGTCCATAGTGCTGGTCAAATACTGGATGTTAAGATGGGTGATTGACATTAGAGACGATTCCCTGGGTCATATCCCTGACCAGAAATGAAGGGGACTTTCCAAGTGGGTACATCTGTGTGTGGGGAGGAGTCTGCATGTTTGAACAGCAGTCTGCGGGGACCTGGTTTTCCTTACTTGTATTCTGGGAGAATACACCTGGGCTTTTACCTGGGAAGTAACAAGGCAGCAGCACCCTTTGGATCCTTCCACATAGAAGTCATTGACCTATGGGGTACAGGATCTCAGAGTCACCCACATCCTTCAAAGCTAGCTTGGCAGGTCACTGACAGGACCCCTGAGGGTCTCCACACACATTAGCTCTTTGCACTGTTTTGTTTTGTTTTTTAATATTTTAATTGTAGTTGGATACAATACCTTTATTTTATTTACTTATTTTTATGTGGTGCTGGGATTGAACCCAGGGCCTCGCACATGCTAGGCTGCCGCAGACTGGCTGGGCACAAAATAACCGAGCCCTCTACACACACTTCCCGGAACTGCCTCCACGGGCTCCGCACGCCAATTCTCTCAGAACCCCGTGAGAACTCAATGGGAACTCCAAAGTAGCAGGCTCCCGAGGCAGCAGGATCTGCCCTAATCCTGGAGCAGGGTCACCTTTCAACCATTCCCTCTGGCAAAAATGCCAGGCGTAATTCTGACTAAACTGTGGCTCTCACAACACTAGGCGAGCACTCTACGGCTGAGCCACAACCCCAGCCCTGTTTGCACTGTTTGAGAAGTTCCCTTAGCTTTTTACATCCTTCCATAGTGATTTCCTTTCCTGTAAATTCTCAGCTTCCAACCTTAGACCTGTCTTCTTAATGGCTTTAAGGTTAGAACTGGTCTTCCATCCCTTACCCATAACCCCCAAGCCTGCAAGCCTGCAGGGCTTTTGCTATGAGACTGTGAAGTAGCACCTCTTCCCTAGGTCAGGCAGGCTGAGAGGTTCCAGGAATGAAGAATCGGAAGATTTTTTTTTTTTTTTTTTTTTTTACAAAGAGTAAATATTTTAATTTTTTAAGTATTCTCAATTTCATAATATTTTAAATAATCACACTAACCAGATACATTCCCCTTGTACCATATCAGTATTAACTTTAAGTATTCACATCCATAATTAACATAATTAGGAAATTTAGCAAAGATGGTAAACATCTACATGAATGTTCTCATACTTGTGGCAATTTAGTCTCTAAAATAAGTTAGGCTGGATTTACATAAAAGCTGAATTTGGTGCCTCTTTCAAATTTATCCTTGAAAAAACAAATAGTCCTGGTGAGCAGCAGGTTATACAGGGTGCCAGGCAAATCCTACCAGAAACTGGGAGCTGCTATTCCATACTACAAAATGCAGGAGAAGCAGAAGAGTGAACATGTTGGGGGCTGCTATTCTGACTGTCCAGGCACCAGAATCACCCTGAGCCAGTGCCACCCATCCCAGCTCTGGACACAGCAGTACTCTGGTGCTCACTAGGAAGCCAGCACCTGGAAGATTGCTTTTTTCATAAAAGAGTTGTGCACACTAAAACAAGAACTCCCAAGGCTATGGTGGACTCCCTCTACTAGAGTTTCACATTTTAAATGATAAAAACAAGAAATGCTTTTTAAATACAAGTGTGAGAAAGTAGGGAAAATTTAAACATCAAGAATCATAAGAATATATATAGTAGTACTGAATATAAATTTTATTTTTTTTTATTTTTTATTTTTTATTTGTAGATTGGCCCAATACCTTTATTTGACTTACTTTTACGTAGTGCTGAGAAGCCAATCGAGTGTCTCACATGTGCAAGCACTCTACCATTGAGGTACAACCTCAGCCCCCAAAATTGTTTTAAAACATTTAAATACACCATTAAGACATGAAAGACAGGCAGCATAGGGAGGAGATATCTACAATACTGACACTAAAAACAGTTCAGAACACATAAGAGACAAGGATCCTACAAATCAATGTGATATGAAATAGAAAACAGGAATTTCACAAAAGAAGTCAAGCAAGTTCAGATCACAGAAACCTAACACTGTCGTCACTGCAGCCCCTTTAGGAGCATGGGTCTCACCAAGCCTTCGGATGTGCTGCCGCTTCCTGTTGCCACTTAAGTCCTATCTCGGTGCTGAACGCGTCACTGTGTCTACACCTCCAACAAATGCCCTAAGGCTGCCTCCTTAGGCCTCATCCCACGGCCCCGGGTTCCCTGGTGGCCCTCCTGGTGGCCCTCCGCACCGGGCTCCAGGAACGCGGAGGCAGCCTGCAGGACTCGGCAGGCCTTCGTTCCAGGCGAACCCGGAGCCACACTCCCCTGACCAGACTCGGTCCCACCCGTGTGCAAGCCCTGACACCCTCGAGGTCCCAGGAGAACAGGCAGGTCCAGGTTTAGCTCGGCCTGAGCGGAACTTCAGGGCAAACCGCACGCCCTCGGCGCCGCGCGACCCACAATGCCCTGCGCCTACCTGGCCCCGCCCCCTGCACCGCGGCCTCAGATTGGCCGCGGGACTTCCGCTTCCCTGGTGGGCGGTGCTGTGGCCCCGGCCGGGGGCTGAGTTCCCGATCGCCATGCGGGAGGGCAGAGCCAGCCCAGGTGCGTCCAGCGGCAACGTGCGGGGAAGGTGGGAGGCCTGCCCCGAAGCCGAGGCGGCGAAGCTGCTGCCCTTCCTGGCGCCTGGCGCGCGGGCGGACCTGCAGGCCGCAGCAGTGCAGCACGTGCTGGCGCTGACCGGCGCGGAGTCGGGCCGCCAGCTGCTGGCTGGGCAGCAGGCGCTGCTGCAGGCGCTGAGTGAGCTGGCGGCGGCTCCGGCCCCTGCCCCAGCCCGCGACGCCGCCCGCGCGCTTGTGAACTTGGCTGCTGACCCCAGCCTGCACGAGCCGCTTCTGGCCGCCGACCCCGGGCTGCCGGCTCGTCTGTTGGGTCGTGCGTTGGACCCACAGTGGCCCTGGGCGGAAGAGGCGGCTGCCACGCTAGCCAACCTCAGTCGCGAGCCTGCGCCGTGTGCCGCGCTGATGGCGGCACTGGCAGCAGTCGAGCCAGGGCAGTCGAGCTTGGAGCGGTTGGTGTGTGCACTCTGCACGCGCGGCTACAACGCGCACGCGCCCCTACATTACCTGGGGCCGTTGCTCTCCAACCTTAGCCAGCGGCCTGCCGCACGTGCCTTCCTGCTGGACCCTGACAGGTGAAGCCCAGACTTCGCGCGGGTGGGGAGCGGGTGGAAGTGAGCAGGGATGGCAACTAAAGGCCTCTTCCAATAGGTGCGTGGTCCAGCGGCTGCTGCCCCTTATCCAGCGTTCAGACTCCTCAGTGCGCAGGGGAGGGGTGGTAGGGACTCTGCGGAATTGCTGCTTTGAGCACCGTGAGTTGAAGGGGGGGGAGGTTTGGGTGTTTCTGGGGTGGGCACTGGACTCTGGGTCCTCTACGAACCGACCTTATTATTATTATTATTAGTTGTAAATTGACACAGTATTTTTTCATGTATTTATTTTTTTGTGGTGCTGAGGATCAAAACCAGTGCCTCACACCTGTGAGGCAAGCGCTCTACCACTGAGCTACAGTCCCAGGCCCCCGACCTTATTCTTGTCCCCACCCCCAGGACACCATGAGTGGTTGCTTGGGCCTGAAGTCGACATTCTTCCCTTCTTGCTACTGCCTCTGGCTGGGCCTGAGGATTTCTCGGAGGAAGAGATGAACCGTGAGTGGCTTGGATTGATGGTGCCTAAGGGTGGGCCAGGCAGGAAGGAAGTCAACCCCAGGAGAGGGACGAGAAAGTGCCCAGACCCCTTCTGAAACTTTCCAGGAAAGAGTTGCTGAGCACAGATGAGGCTCACCCAGGTAGAGCCAGGTCTAACTGCCCAGTCAAGGCACCCAGTGCCTCCCACACTCACCCCCAGGGTTGCCTGTTGACCTGCAGTACCTGCCGCCAGAGAAGCAGCGTGAACCTGATGCTGACATCCGCAAGATGCTCATTGAAGCCATCATGCTGGTGAGCAGGGGTGTGCTATGTTAATGCCACCGTTCTACACACACATAGGAGCACACTGACATATGAGTAACCTCTTCAATATCCCCAGCTGACAGCCACTGCACCTGGGCGGCAGCAGGTGCGGGACCAGGGAACCTACCTGATCCTTCGAGAGCTGCATAGCTGGGAACCAGAGCCTGATGTGCGGTTGGCTTGTGAAAAGCTCATCCAGGTGGGTGCAAGGTTGGAAAGGCTGAGGAATGGGAGCCCACAGCTGTCCAGCTGTTCTACTCACCTGCCTCTTCTCCTGGCAGGTGCTAATTGGAGATGAGCCAGAATGTGGCATGGAAAACCTGCTGGAGGTGCAGGTGCCTGAGGATGTGGAACGACAGCTGCAGCAGCTGGACCGGGAGCAGCAGCAGCTGGCCCAAGAGTCAAGGGTGGAAGGGACTGCACCTACCTGAGGTCCCTTCAGCATGGGAGTCCAGAGCCACCTTTGCCAGACCTGCTAGACCAGACCTGCCTACAGACCTTCAAATCCCCTGTGCCCGCTGAGAAGCAGAGCTATACTTAGGCTAGAGTGAATGCTCAGTAAATGTTGGAGGGTTGAGGACACTTCCCAACCCTATGTCTCCTGTTGATACCAATAAGAATAAAGGTTGAGCCAAAGCCCACCAGGCCCTGTGCCACAGCTGCCTTCACATGAGGCAGATAGGTGGGCCAGTGGAGCCATGAGGAACCTGTTCTCAGGCAAAGTGGTGGACTTGACAGAAAGCATTGCACATCCTGAAGAGCATCCTCTATAAAGTCTGGGCATGGGCAGGTTCAGAGGTTCAAATAGAGCCTCCTGCTGTCAGCCCCATCCCCTGGGGCCCTTGGCCTGCTCTGCCTGAGACCTGGCCTCAGAGGACTGACCCAGCCACACCTGGATCCTGGGATCTTCCTAGGACTATGCCCCTGGGCCTGTCTTTGGAGCACTTGCTGGGTACTACTTTCTCTTGGGATCTCCATCTCTGCATGATCTATGCCCCAGGGTCCTCTGCGCCTGGTCAGCTCTTCCAGTCCCAGGTCAATCTGGTGTTCTCTCATAGCTCTCTAACTAGGCCTGCTCTCCTGGTCAGCTTCCCTGAGCTTCAGCTGCCTTTCAAGACATCGGGACGCTGCTCCCAGACCCTTTGCCTACCTCTGCAGAGAGCCTTCCCAGTGTGCCTGCAGTCTTGTCCCATTCAAGCCTCTCTTCCCACCACCACCTACCCGTGCCCTCACCCACATGGGCCTGGCATGCTTTTTTATCCTAGTTTCATATGTGTTCCCCTTGCCCCCAAGTTTGGAGCAGTTATAGTGGCTTTCACCCCACTTTGTTTCCTTCCTGAGCCTCATGCCCCCTGCGTGGGACTCTTGAGTGCTGTTCCCTCTTCACCAGTGAAGAGACCCTGATGAAGGAGCTTAGCTTCCGGAAGCTTGCAGGCCCCGTTCCACCTCACCAGAACCCTAAACTGCACTGCCTCATGTTCTCTGACATGGCTGGGTGCTTCATTAGGTGACACTGGTTTCCCTTTCCAGGGTGCCCTCTAGCCTGCCCCCATTAAAGCCTAGCAATCTAGGCAAGTGTGATAGATGTGCTGGTTTTTCCCTGAGAGACCAGAAAGGGGTGGCAGAGCCTCCACCAGGGAGGCAGCTGGAAGCCATTTCTTTTTCCCTGCATTAAGACAGCAGCACTCCCAGCTCCACAGAATAAACATTTTATCTGCCCATACCCACCCATTCACCCACCCTCAGTTGATCATGTAGTGCCCAGGAATGTTCCTGACAGCATAGGTAGAGCATAGACACAGTGACTGGCTCCCTGCTTTGGTGCACCAGAGCCCCAGCCCTGCAGAACCTGCTTCTTGTCTGGGGAAGACATTGGAGGTCCTGAGCGCCAGGCCCAAGGCGCTCTCCTCCCAGGTGTGCTTCTGCTGTTGCCGCCTTGGGTAGGTTGAGTCTGCACCATGCTCTGCATCCTCCTGGGGCGCTAGGAGCTGTGAACCCGCTAGCTTCTCTGAAACTGACAGCAGTGGAGTCAGATGGAGTGTAGAGGACTATCTGCTTCCCAACTCCACCCCCAGACCATGCCCCACCTGATGTGGTACCCACTACCGAGCGGAAGAGTGTGTGCACAGCAGGAAGCATCCAGCGGTGTGCAGCTACCTGCTGCAGATCCAGGCGTGCACGTGGGCGCAGGTGGAGCAGTCCCCGGATAAGGTCCCGGCACTCTGCAGGCAAAAACTCAGCTGTGGCCTGCAGCCGCCCCACCAGCTGTCTCCCAGCACCCCTGGTCCATGCCCACCACCACCAGTAATGGAGGCCACTTAGAGAGGTCAACCCATTTCAGTCCTGGCAAAAGTCTGAGAAAGTCCATGTGTCACTGAAGGGGAGACAAAGAGGCAAGATGGTGTTCCTGGGGCTAGTTCTGAGCTCAAACCAGCTTGGTGGAGCTACTGCCTTTCCTGGTGCCCAGCCCTCCCCCAGCCCAGCTTCCCCATCATGCACTTCCAAATGAGGTGGAAGATGAGTCCAGATCATTCTCCATTGCACTGGTCTTTGCTTTTTCTCCGGGCCTGAACTGGGGTTTTGGTGTGTGTGTGGGGGGGGGGGGGGGCGCATGAGGTAGGGGTGTTCACCTGGAGACAGGCCAGGCTGGAAGATAGGTCCATGGCGCATGAGGTGCAGCATGCGGTGAGGCTGGCTCTCTTTGAATGGCAGCTTCCCAGTCACCATGGCGTAGAGGATGATACCTCTGGAGACAAAGGCTCCTCTAGGTGGTGCTCCTTCCCAGCCCTCCCATAGGTCCTTATGCAGAGGGTGCCTGTGGGGTGGCACTCACAGGCTCCATAGGTCGGCCTGTTCGCCATTGTACTTCTTGCTCATGAGGATCTCTGGGGCTGTGTAGGCCACAGAGCCACAGAAGGTGCTCAGCAGTGAATTCTTGAGGCTTGAGTGGTTAGCAAAGCCAAAATCTGCATGGGGCATACAGGCGGAGCCGCACAGCGGTTGAAAGACAGGTCAGGGACCCATGGGTCAGAAGGGTATGGGTCTGCGCTGACATCTTGGGGAAGGCAGGGGCACCGAGTGGGTGAATTAGGGTGAGGCTGAGCAGAAGGCATTTATGGGATTAGGCCAGTGGGTTTGGGCTGCAGTGAGAGAGCTAAAGGTCAGGACTAGGTCATAGTTGAATGTAAGGCCTGCCTGAGACTGGCAGAAGTTGAAGGTCGTCGTGAAGGAGTGGAGCAGGCTTGGGGGCAGTGCCTGGCTCACCTGTCAGCTTTAAGAAGCCCTGGTCGTCCAGGAGTATGTTCTCACATTTCAGGTCCCTGCAGGGAAAAGGAAGGTGGGGCTGGGCCTGGGCTCAAGGGGACTCAAGGTGGGCAGGATAGCCAGGTGGCACCCTTACCGGTGCACAATGCCAGCATTGTGGCAATGGGCTACAGCGCTGACCAACTGCCAGAATAGCCTTCGGGCTTCCTCTTCCTCCAGCCCTGGGCAGTGTCGGTAGTCTGACACAGCATTGATATGTTCCAGCAGGTCACCTCGGGCAGCCAACTCCAGCACCAGGTAGAAGCGCTGACTGTTCTGATAGGTCTCATACAGCTGTACCTGCCAGACCCCCACCACCATTACCCTGAGGAGGGGTTGGGCCAAGGACGTCCAGGGACTGTGGAGTGTACTGGATCTGGGGTTTGGAATGGGGTTGGGCTTTAAGCCTAAAGACTTAAAGGTCAAAAGTTGGGGAGGTGGACAGGCCATGCTGGCCAGCAGGTAGGTATGGTAAGGCCTGGCCTTGAGGATGGGGAGAATAGGACAGGCTATGTCAAGACTACTGCCCACCACGTTCTGGTGCTTATAGGTAGCATTGAGTGATGAGATCTCACGGGGCAGGAACTTTTGAGAGAATTCCACAGGGGCCTCAGCCATGGAGACAATCTTGATAGCTACCTGTGGGAGGTAGTAGATGGTTGTGGCAGGACAGGCTCACTGTCCTTGATACACGTTGCTGAACTTCTCAGAGGCGTAGTTGGGTAAACAGTGTCTGTGGACAGTGCTGACCTCCCTGTCCTTTTCCTGGGCACTTATGTGTCCAAGGTTTGGTAACAGGGAGTGGTCATGGGAAATCCCAGAAGAAGCAGGAACTGGGGGGGGGGCATTTTGGAGGGAACTGGGGTTTCTAGAAGGTGCCTGAGTTGGTTCAGGAAACAGGGGACTGTTGTGGGGGGCAGAAGGTACCCCAAGGAGCCCACAGGAAGGAGACAGGCCTGCCTCACCATGGTGTGGTGCTTGCCCCGCAAGTCAGAGGACAGCTTGGGGTTGTGCTGCATGCGCTCCTGTGTGGCATAGGCCAGGTAGACCTTGGAGAATGCTCCAGAGCCAATCCTCTTGGAGGAGAGCAAGTAGCCATTGTCCATGCATTCTCGCACCTGTTCTATGAAGGTTCTGTGGTCCGACCTGAGCCTACCACTGCCCTTCATGGAGGGCAGGGTGCTACCAAAGGGAGCGTGGCAGTCCAGCTCACTGCCAGTTTCAGTCACAGGGTGGGACAAGCTGTGTCAGAGGGCAAAGGCTGGAGCAGCAGGGGACTGAGAAGGAGCTGCACCCCTCGAGGCAGCAACCAAGTTTCTGGAGACTTGCTGGAGGTGGGAGGTTAACACACCTATAGACTGGGTGGGGAGCACAGGCTCTGGGAAGCTGGGGACACATTCTAGAATGGACGATTCTAGAACTGTACCTTCATTGTGCCCCAAAGCATGTGTCGCCTCAGAACCTTCCCCCTGTGAGAATGGCTTGTTGAATCAGCCGGTCCTGCCACTCTGTTGGGGTGGGGAGAACCCACTTCAAGGGCTAGAGCCAGGGTGAGGCCTCTGTGAGCCACTCTGAATGTGTTGGCCACTGAAGACCTTTACAGAAACTGGGGACTCTGGGGGCAAAGGCAGGAGGGCTAACCTTCCAAGGATACGGGAAGGGAAAAAGGGTGGAACGTGCGCCGACTGCTGTTTCAGCTGTGACTCCTCCTCGAGGGGATTCCCAACACCCCCTGTGGCTGCACCAGAAGAGGGATGGGTTGGGAGAGCAGATGAGGACTGCTGCAGGAAGCCTCCCAGCTGGAGCTCTCTGTAAGCTGACCACACATCCCTAGGGCAAGCTGCCCTGGGCCTGGGCCCTCCGAGACCATCAACTCCAGCAGATAGGGGCCAACATCTCTCCCTTCTTCTGGCCCCCAGAGTCCTTAGAGCATTGGTACTGTCAGGAGGAGCAGTAACTGACACAACTGAGTGCCTGCTTGCCAAGTGCCACTCTAGACAGTGATGTTAGCTGCCCCACCCAGAGGACACTCTAAGGTACCCATTCCACAGGAGGCAGCTCACAGCCAGGATTGTAAAGCTGCATAAAACTAAACAATACGTCTTCACACAGGATGAAACTGAGACCCAGCAGTGGCAGAGCCCAAGCCCAAATGTCAGAACTTTCTCAGCTGTGAGCCAGATAGTCTGGTGCAGCAGGCAGTGGGCAGCCTAGGAGTTTCCACAAGGGCCTGATGTGTGGTATAGGCCCAGTGAGTCTGGGGGCTGGCATCATTCCTGCACTGAGACGGATGGGTGAATGTGGTGAGCACGTAGTGGAGGCCTTGGAATAGGCTGGCCTGGGCTGATCAGACACATTTTCTCATCCCTATTGGATCATGAGCCTCTTCTTCTTCCTCTTCCTCTTCCTCCTCCCTTCCTACCCCCTCTTTTTTCTTTGGATTGAACCCAGGGGTGTTTTACCAATGAGCTACATTCCCCAGTCATTTTTATTTTGAGGCAGTTCTTGCTAAGTTGCTGAGGCTGGCCTTGAACCTCTGATCCTCCTGCCTCAGCTTCCCAAGTGGCTAGGATCACAGGCCCATGCCACTACATGCAGCCCATTAGATTTTCTGTTTGTTTTTGGTATCAAGGATTGAACCCAGTGTGGGTTTAACCACTGTGCAACATCCCCAGCCTTTTTTTGGTACTGGGGATTGAACTCAGGGGCACTCAACCCCTGAGCCACATCCCCAGCCCTATTTTGTATTTTATTTAGACACACGGACTCACTGAGTTGCTTAGCACCTCGCTTTTGCTGAGGCTGGCTTTAACTTGTGATTCTTGGGGCTGGGGATGTGGCTCAAGCGGTAGCGTGCTCCCCTGACATGCGTGCGGCCCGGGTTCGATCCTCAGCACCACATACAAACAAAGATGTTGTGTCCGCTGAGAACTAAAAAATAAATATTAAAAAATTCTCTCTCTCTCTCTCTCTCTCTCTCTTAAAAAAAAAAAATTAACTTGTGATTCTTCTGCCTCAGCCTCGCAAGCCGCTGTGATTACGGGTGTGCACACTATGCCCGGCAATCCCCGGCCTTTTTTATATTTTATTTAGAGACAGGATCTCCCTAAGTTGTTGAGGCTGGCTTTGAATTCATGATCCTTTTTCAGCCTCTTGAGCTGCTGGGATTACAGGTATGCACTGCCGGGCCTATGTAATTCTTAACCACAAGGCTCAAGATTCATGCTTGATATTCCCACCTTGTCTGACAAAGTGCCTGGAATATAGAAAATGTGGATATACTACCTGGCCTATGGCTGATCTGGAGTTTAGAAAAAGACAACTCCTGAGAATTTAATGTGGGTTGGTTACCCAGGAATTAGAAGGGCTGGGGCACATGAGAAGTCAGGTGAAGGTGGATAGCCTCAAGAAGTGCTGCTCTTGGGCCTGGGGATATAGCTTAGTTGGTAGAGTGCTTGACTTTCATGCTACAAGGCCCTGGGTTCAATCCCCAGCACCACATTAAGGAATCCCCAAACAAAATAAAGCATGTTGCATTCCTCACTACAAAAACACTCAGCGCCCCTCCAGGGGAACTGGGTTCCCAAGATAACCACACAAGAGACAGGGATACCTTTTCCTTTGGGGGTCCTGTGACTGCTCCTCTGACTTAAGGGTCCACAGAAAGAGTGAGAGCCAGCACCTGCTGACCCTTTTATTGGGGGGAAGCCATTCAAATGAGGCAAGGGGTCAGGCGACAGGGGGTTGAGTCCAGCTTCCTGATGTCTGCTGTCAGCAGGTTGACTGACATCTAGGAAGGCCACGCCCAAAGGCAGAGCAAGAGAAGGGGCACACAGAGGGCATTTCCATGGAACATTCTATCCCAAACAGGGCAAAGGGGTAATATCACAAAGGAACAGGTGATCGTGATTCGACCCCTGGGGCTGCAGGAAGGCTCGCCTACACCTGAAGACACGTTCTGCTACTTCAAGGATGGGGGCAATATTGAGGTCTCTACAAAAATGACTGACGGAGCCTCTTCTGATCACGGGAAGGAGAATGCCGGTCATTCACAGTCATTCACAACAACAACAACAAAACCTGTGCTTCTAGAGCTGGAGGCTAAAGGGAAAATTGCATGGCCCCAGCCAGGAGCCCATACATCCTCGCTGCACCCCTTCCCTCACCTTCCTGGCTTTCACCTGTGCCAGAACCCAACTGGAAGCCAACAAGTGTTAAGCTGAGTAGTGACAAGCAAGATCCGGAATAGTCATCAGCTCTGTCCACCCTCTTTGCAAAGTCTTATTTATCCTTCTGTTTGTCTGCACCCTTATAAACCCATCAACACCATTACCTGCTGGGCTTTGTGCTTAATAATGTAATGCATGCTGGGCAGTTCGTGTGCTTGGGAAGGGGAGTGACCACTATAAATGGGAGGAGTACAAGGCCAGTGGGGCATGTTGGACTTTGGCCTTGGAGCAGAGCACTACAGGCTTTAAGCAGGGCAGTGAGTCCAGGCATGAACTTGGAGAAGCTCTGTTCCTGGGCAAGTTCCCTGATTAGTTCTCCTGCCAGCTGGGAGTCATCTCCCAGCAATGTCTTTTTTTTTTTTTTTCCCCAAATACTTATTTTTTAGTTGGACACAATATCTTTATTTTTATGTGGTGCTGAGGATCGAACCCAGGGCCCCCACATGCTAGGTGCTAGGTGAGCCCTCTAATGCTGAGCCACAATCCCAGCCCCTCCTAGCAGTGTCTTGAACCAGGCCCCCATATGTCTATCATCTAACTCTCTTGACCATCTATGTCCTGTCCCACTCTCTTGGATTCCATCCCCACAGAAACAGGTGAAATTAATCTTGCTGGGGGTTAAGAACGTTTTGTCCCTACTTTGCCTCCTCGAACCCTTAGCCCACTGCCCTCCCAGGACCCCACCCAACCTGCGGTTTGATTTCCACATCTAACCACTCTGACAGGCTTGGAATCGGTCAGTTTGCTGCTTCCTTTTTCTCAAATGGCTCTCTTCCTGTGCTTCCAGAACACCACACACTCCTTTCTTTGAGCTGTGAACTTATCCAGGTGATTTTGGCCTCCCGGTCTTTGCAGTAGGGAGTCTGCCCTGGGCGTTCCTCTCACCTGGGGCGGGGAGCGGTTTGGGTCCTTCCCACCTTTGCTGTAAGTTCCCAGCCGCTCACGCCTCTTCATAGCCCTTCTCCTGCGCTGTAATTGGCTTTATTAATCATTCACTTGTTTGTTTGTGCTTAATAATGTAATATATGCTGGGCAGTTTGTGTGCTTGGGAAGGGGAGAGGTGACCACTATAAGTGATTTAGAAGTTCCTAGGGCAGGGACCTATTTTGATTTGCATGGTCTGTTGGTAACTGGACTGTGCACCTCTGATGGGCATGCGTGTGTTTGCGTTCGCTGAGGGGTGCGCAACCTAGGTCTCTGGGGCGCCTGTTGGATGTTCTCTGTGAGCGAGAGCCCGACAATGCCCAGTGTGTTTCTGGACAGGTACGTGTTTGTGTGAACCTGTGGGCTCTGTGCACATCTGGATGCAATGACACACCGACCTGCGCCCTCAGGATGTGCGGGGTGAAGGGGACACCTAGCGCCGGGCCCGCAGGTGTCCCAGCCTCCACGCCACGCTCGCGCCCAACAGTCAGGTGCGACCATCACGCGGCGCCCAGGGGCGGGGCCCAGCGCGAGGCGGAGTCTGCGCACGACTCGCGCTGGGGGGCCATGCGCGGGGTAGAGCGTGAGGGACGTACCTCCGGCCAATGAGCGCAGAGAATGCGTGGAGGTGGGGCCAGGCTGTCGCGCGCAGGGACGCGGTTGGTCGGAGGGCTGCGGGGCGGGGCTAGGCGCACGACTCCGGTGACTCCAGGCCGAGGCCGGGCTGGAGGGCGGTGTCCAGGTCCCGGCGTCTGGGCTGTGGCTCCTCCTCAGGTAAAGGGCAGGCGGGAGTGCCTTCGGCGACGCTGAGGAAGCGCCCCTTCGGGTGTCTGAGCTGGAGAGCCTGGAGGTTGTCCCTTCTGCTGGGCAGAGCGCCAAGTCGAGTTGGGGCGCCACCCCAAGGTCAGCGACGAGCGCCGGGAGGTGCTGTTCTTCTCGGGCCGGGGCTCAGGTGCACCCTACGGCCCCGCGGGACGGGCTTGGCCGCGTCGCTACCGGAAGAGACCTAGGAGCTTGCGACTCAATTCCTCCTTGGTCTGCTTCTTGAGAGGCGCGCGAGTTCCCTCCCGGAACTCGCCGGCCCCGGTGCCTGCCCCTCCCGGGGAGCCCCTCTCACCGGCCCGGGTGCCTGCCCCTGCGGGGGAACTTAACTCGTTGGTCTCTGCCTGCCCTTGTGGGGAGCACGGTGGCCTTCGGCTCTTGTCCCTACTTTCTGGGGTGGTCCATGTTTCTGTGGCCTACTGAGGGGTCTTTCAGAGGAGGTGTCCTTTCCTTTTATGCCTCTGAAGCTAAGCCTAAACCCTAATGTTCCCAGTGCATTGGGGCCATAGTCTTTTAGTGTTCGATGATTTAGAGGCCATCTAGAGCAGGGAAGTGATTTGTCCAGAGTCAGGAGTGTCTACTAGTCTTACAGTGTAGGTCACAAAGCTGAAAGGGCTGTGGGAAGTCCAGCAACGAAGCCAAGGCTAGAGCTAGGTGATGCTTAGCTAGAACTGGCCCATGGGATTTTGGGTTCCTATTTTCCTGCAGTGTCAGGACAGCCGCAGTGCAGGGCTCATTTCTGCACATCTTACAGAGGTCCCCATTGCCAGCTCAGGCTAGAGATTGGACAGAGCCATAAACGCTAGTGCAATGAGGTCAGCATCAGGGGGTGAAGGAAGGAGGGCCTGGCAAGGAGAGCAGCCCAGCCTGGGGATGTGAACTGGAGCAGCTGTTGGGGTGATGGGCAGCTTAGAGGAGCTAGTCCAGGAGGCAGAGACCACTTTGGAAGGAGATGGTGGGGTGGTAGAAGTGGAGGAGGTGTGTGTGTGGGAGAGATGGAGGACCAGGGGCTGGTGGTATTGATTTCTGAACCAGATAACTGAGTGGTGACAACGCAGGAAAGAAGCAGATGGGGTAGCAGTTGTGGGAGGTCAGGGGTGAAGATGGTGGGTTGAGCCTTAGAGCTGTTGGGCTTGAGTGGCCATGGCCATCTGGAGGAGACTCTTAGTAGGCATATGGTCCTTGGTGAGGTGAAGTTGGGTTCCCCTCTGGGAATCATTGGTTGTGGGTATTTCATGGGCATGTATGCTAATGATGTGATTGACTGTATAGTCTCTGCACCCTGGAGGCTTGAGGATGCTGCTGTCTGCAGATCTTCTTTCCCACACCTCAGGTAAACAGGTGAACTTTGTCTCTGATGGGAATGAGGAATGTCCTAGGGTTGAGCTGTCTTTGTTTTCTTGAAATAGATGTTCAGGCTGCTGTGGCTTTTCAGATCTGAATCTTGCTATACTTCTCTGTCCCCCAAGGTTGATTGCTGCTATCCTGTGGAACACTAGGGGGCAGAGGTGGAACTTTGGAGCATGTGCCTGCTCACGTTCACAGCCATTGGTGTGTACTTGGAGAGGTAGATGTCTGTGCTTGCCCTTCTTTCCTAGGGTCCACAGAAGCCCAGGTGAGAAGCAGAGTTGCTGCTTTCTGTGATCAGCAGCCCCAGGCCTTGGCCCCTCTTTCTGTGAACTAAGTTGTTTGAGTGTAAGCATGTTCTCTGCCAGTGCAGCTCACAGAGTCTGATTCCCTTGGGGAGGAGCACCAGATGAGGCTCCCATGGCTCTTGTGAGCTCCTGGGAAGTGCTCAGAGAATGATGGTTGATAAATCATGAGAATCATGCTTTCTTCACTGAACTAGAGGGCCACCTTGCTTGGGGAGTTGGTATGTGAACCCAGTGACATAGCTCCACTTGGATTATGTTGAGAAATTGTGTTCTTGGGGCTTGACAAGCAGTTACCCAGCCCAAGTTTGTGCTGGTGACTCTAGAAGTTGACTCTTCTCTGGCCCCTGTGCTAGGGAAAAAGGGCCCTTGGACTCCATGTCTGGCTAGGGCAGTCCATGACCACCCCATATATGTCTGACCCTCCAGGCCAGCTCATCATAGCCTCTGGGCTGTGGTGTGCTTGCCTCCTCTGGGCTCAGTGCAGGTGATGTAATACTTCTGTTGTGTCCACACATGCAGCGGCTGTAATACTTATGAGTGTTTTTTTTTTTGTTTTGTTTTGTTTTGTTTTTTTTTGTTTTTCAGTACTGGGGAATGAACCCAGGAGAACTCTACCACTGAGCTTTTCATTTTTTATTTTGAGAGTCCTGCTAAGTTGCTGAGGCTGGCTTTGAACTTGTTATCCTGCTTCAGCCTCCCAAGTTGCTGGGATTATAGGCCTGTGCTGCTGTCCTGGGTTCCTGTGAGTCCTTTTTGTGGCAAAGAGAGCCCTCATACAAGGACTTTGTGGGCCTCAGACAGGGCCAAGTGGGCATTTACTAAATGTGGAACCGAGAGGACACAGCTTCATCATTCATGTAAGAGTGCCATTCTGTAGGAGGACAGGCCCCATCAACTCGACCTCCTACCTCTTCTTCCATAGTTTTGTTTTATTTTTTTTAAATAAAACCACCATGGTGGGCATCTGGTGGTCTTTCTTTCTTTCTTTCTTTCTTTCTTGTGGCGCTAGGGAGTGAACCAGGGCTTTGTGCATGCGAGGCAAGCACTCTACCAACTGAACTATGTCCCCAGCCCTATTTTTCTTAACATGTCTGTACATTTCTTGATATCTGTGCACTAGTGTGAGGGTCTCTGTTGAGAGATGTGAAAAAGTTCTGGGCCATCTGGCTTGAGTGGCCTTTCCTCTGGCTCTGCCAGGGGTACTAGCACCCAGCATCCCTGTCCTTATGACTTGGGATGCTCTTGGAACCTACCACGTGCCTGGCTTCTCTCCAAGTCAGAGTGTGACTAGAGGTGCTGATCATCAGCACTTGTAGAGGGTGGAGGGGCCCAGGCAGAGTCTATGTGGGCTGATGGCTGTGCCACAGTCCCACAAGGTGTCTGCTTGCAGCACTGAGTCCTTGACTGACCATTGTACCACACTGTCCCTCTGCTCTGGAAAGGGAGGATAGAGCTGTTGGTCTGAAGGAGTGATCAGCACAGCCTCCATTTATCTGTGGGCTATTTCTCCTAAGAAATCCTGTATGTTCTTTGCCCTTTTTCTTGTTTGTCTTAGTAATGCACAAACTCCTTTGCATATTATATTAGGAAAATAGTCTTGTCATATATATTATGAATGATCTGTCCTGCATTGTCTATAATTTGGCCAGTATCACTCCCAGCACTTCCTCCCTCCCTCTCCACCTTGTATCCACTGGTCTTTGTTGGTTGGTTTGGTACCAGGGATTGAACCTGGGGAACTTAACCACTGAGCCACTTCCCCAGCCCTCTCTATTTTTTATTCTGAGACAGGGTCTTACTAAATTGCTTAGGGCCTTCCTAAATTGCTGAGGCTGGCTTTGAACTTGTAATCCTCCTGCCTCAGCCTCCTGAGCCACTGGGATAACAGGTGTGCACCAATGTGTGGGCTTCATTCATTCATCCTTTTTTTTTTAATTTTAAAAATATCTTTATTTATTTATTTTATGTGGTGCTGAGGATCGAATCCAGTGCCTCACATGTGGGAGGCAGGCGCTCTGCCACTGAGCCAGCCCCAGCCCCTTGCATTCTTTATTAATATAGACTTGTGCTGTAAACTCCCACAGAATTCAACATAACTTTTTATTTTAACGTGGTTTATAACTTTTTGCATTGAACCAGGGTATCTTGCCACTGGCCCACATTCCTAGCCCTTTGGTTTTCATTTTGGGACGGCGTCTCACTGGGTTGCCCGGGCCGGGCTAGGACTGCCACCTCCTGCTTGAGCCTCACAGATTACTGGGATCCCAGGTGAGGGCCACCCTCCCACCTTGTGATTCCATTTTGTGTCCCTTTTGTGGTACCTGCATGACTTCAAAGCATAGTGAAGAGTTTCTAAATACTTGAGAATTTCTTAGTTATCTTTCTCTTATTGATTTATTTTATTCATTGTGGTCAGAGAATGTACTTTGTATGTCTTGAATTTTTGACATTTATTTATTTATTTATTTATTTATTTTTTAAAATATATTTATTTTTTAGTTTTTTGGCGGACACTACATCTTTGTTCACAACATCTTTGTTTGTATGTGGTGC